AAAAAAAAGACACATCCAAACATGCATGCTTTGTGTCATAGCATATCTTTGTTACCATGAGCAGATGTATTTTATTATATCCATATAGTTGAATAACATGTAGCCATAAATGAACAAACAGCAGAGGAGGGAGTCTAAATGTGATCAAACTATATTGTATGAAATTCACAAAAATTCAATAAAAAATTATGGCTCCGAAATCTATTTTAAAAGTAGAAGTTTAGCCAGTCTAACCAGATGATTGTCTTTCACTAGTGTTAGCTGATTTCACAACTGCTTTCCCCTTCTACTTAAGAATAGAAATCCTGAGTTCTAAATTCCAATCAACGAAAATCAAAATTAATGTACAAGTATTTGGATTCACATTAATATCCTGACAGATGACCTAATTGTTCATTAAAAAAAAAAAAACTTGTGGAATTAAAAAAAATACTTATCTAGCAAAATAAAAACAGAACCCTTCACTTTAAATATCTTGGAAATTATACTGTGAGCTACTGTTTTAAAGACTGCTGTAAAAGTTTTAAAATGCTGCAGTGCCTTGTTCAAGGAGCTGTATAATTTGGTGAGGGAATTTCTACTTGAAAAAAATCTTTGTATATCAGTGTCAGCTATAAATCCAATTATCAGCAAGCTGTGGCAGAAGAGATTTCTTGTCATATTTGACCACAGAGCAGAGATTTATTGAAAATGCTTGATTATATTGCTCTTTGAGTTGCTTTATATCAACACAGCAGTGCAGTGAATGTTGTAAACTTGCTCTGTGTGTGTGTGTGTGTGTGTGTGTGTGTGTGTGTGTATGAACAAACACATAAATGCATGTGTTTCTGCCTCTGAAAACTGATTTCGAGCTCTGAAAATTGTTACCTAGTGAGAAAATACTAAAAGATGCTTCAGGCAAAATGTTTTATTCACCTTCAGGATGATATGCTTGTTTGGGAGTGAGGATTGAACTAAGGACTTCTGCCTGCTAGACAAGAACACTGCCACCAAGCTGCATATCCTCAGTTCTCTTTACAATTCTTTATTTTGAAACAAGGTCTTACTATGGCACCCTGGATGGCCTTGAACTCACTCACTAGTCCAGACAATGCTTGAATTTGCAAATCTTCTGCTTCAGGCCCCTGAGTAGCTTGGATTATAGACCTGGGCCTCCAGACCTGCATTAGGATGATTTTGGTACCAACTGTGTTATAAGTAAATATCACCTTATTGCCCCTTCAAGAATGAATCCTAGTGTCTGGAAGCAAGACTCAGCAGTTAAGTGTGCATTCAGCTCTTGCAAATGACCTGAGTTCAGTTCTCAGTACCAAGGTCAGGTGACTATAAGGTCAGGTTAGATGCTTCTGTTCTGTGGGGGCTCTTGTACTCATGTGTACACACACACACACACAATCACACACACATACACAATTTTTAAGCTAAGATAAATATCTTAAAATTGTATTAAAAAAGAAAAGGATGAATCATAAATGAAATACCTTAAACCAAAGCTGCAGTGATTGATGGTCCTATTCCACATGAGGAAATAGGACGATGAGCAATTTTGACAGGCAGAAACATAATAAATTTATTATTTTTAAAAGAACTTTCATTCCTTGAAAACCCTTTATACCTTGGTCGATAGCCTAAATGTGACACAACTGAAAAGTAAACTTTCTTCAGTAATGAAGGACTGCAAAAGAGAACATAAATTCAGCTCCTTGAGTCCAGTTCCATAACTAAAAGATTTATTTTTATGTACATTTTCTTTTCCATTTTTAAAAATATTTTATTTATTTTATTTTATGTGCAAGAGTGTATTGCCCATATGTGTCGTGTATGTAAGAGTATGCATGTTGTATAATGTCCATGGAGGTCAGAAGAAGGTGTTGGATCCCCTGGAGCTGGAGTTATGGACAGTTGTAAGCCGTCATGCAGGTGCTGGGAATTGAACCTGGGCTATTCTCAAGGGCAACCAGTGCTTTTAACTGCTGAGACATCTCTTTAGCCCCCCTCTTTTCTATTTTCACATTCAAATTTATTTGACTCCGTACCAGAAGATTCTTGTAAAATTTTTGTTGAAATACAGTGTTAAACATTGACTCATAGTATTATTTTTATGTTATAATAGTTTAATAATGTTGATTAAATTCCACAATTTGTGGAATTGGTTTTCTGCCTGCTGTCTGTATCTAAAAAGATGATCATTGCCATAGTAATTTATGGGTAAAAATTGTCAATACATGTAACATGTGTGTACCTATCAACCATACACTACTGATCAGTGCTCTTGTTTGATCAATAAAGCAAGGTTTAAAAATCGCTAAATTGACTGCTTCAGACACTAGAGTTTTTAATTGCACAGGAAATAGCCTCTATTCTATTTTACAGCTGTCATTCATAAAAGTGTTCATTCCATTTTCATTGCCAACATTATGGTTACTACAGAAGCTGTGCACTTCAGGTCACTAAATAATGCATGTAATATTTAGAGAATATGCTTTAAATAAGGGTTAAAATAACAGATATCTGAATGATACTCGATGAATTCCTTATTACTCACCAGAAAAATGAAATTTTTCTAGCACTGTACTGTGAGAGATGCAAAGACAATAAAATTATAACCTCCTTTTGCAAATAATGTATAATCAATACGGCTTCCACCTGTATTGATTCATATATATATATATATTTTTTAGTCTTTGTCTCATTATTATTGGGGGGGGCAGGATTTCCCTAGACCCAGGCTGCCTGGAAGTCACTATGTAGATCAGGCTGGCCTTGATCTCACAGAGATTCAATTATAACCTCCTTTTGCAAATAATGTATAATCAATACGGCTTCCACCTGTATTGATTCATATATATATATATATTTTTTAAAGTCTTTGTCATTATTATTGGGGGGGGCAGGATTTCCCTAGACCCAGGCTGCCTGGAAGTCACTATGTAGATCAGGCTGGCCTTGATCTCACAGAGATTCACCTGCCTCTTGTCTCCTGAGAGCTGGGATTAAAGGTGTGCGTGCGCCACCACGCCCAGCGTCTTTGTCACTTTGAAAGTTTGCCTTCTTCTGGAACTGTCTGGGTGTTTATTTTACCATCCATAATTTATTCTGCAGATAATATTTTATTGGGACATTTTGTCATTTATCATTCTCAAATTCTCTTTCAAGTCTTCTCTAAAATAATTTAGAACAACTATGCATCCCCTCACACATTTTAAATTTTCCATTTTAACTATTGTAGTACAAGTTAAATTTCTGCATAAAATTACCATAGTGACTTGATATGCAGCAGTATCTCTCTGTGTCCCTCTGGGAAACACAGGAAGAGACTCCTTTTCAATCACAGCTCACATCACTCAGCTTTCTCCTTGAACTAGTACCTACAGCTCTCTGTTCCCACAGAATCACATACAGTCATAATCAATTTTTATGACCGAGGCTCTTTTATTGATCATCCTCTTTGTGCAGCATAAAATTGTTATAAATTGAAATTTTATTTTATATTTCATTTCTCCTGACTCTAAGTTTTAACATTTTTTTTCTTTCTGGGTCAAGTCAACACTATAATTAGGGTTTCTGCACAGCTATACACAAAGTTAAACTTTATTGGGATTTCATAGTTTAATGACACAAATGAAACTTATTCAAATGCCATATATATATATATATATGCACACACCTATAATACTACACAAATTCTGTTCCAGCTTTTGCTGTGTATTGATCTGAACACAGCAGAATCTTGTCTGCATATGTATGAGTGAGTAATGAAGCCTATTATGTATAATGAGGTTTTAATTCCACCCACTCACCCAAAGTCATTTTTTAAATAATCTGTCTACTCACAACTACATGAGGTCTTCCTGCATTTAGGCTGAAAACAAGTTGTAGAAACTCCCTGACTTCGTGGAAAAGGTTATTATTTATACAAGTTTTTACTTTTGTACTTTCCAGAAAGTACATCAGTATGAAACTCTAACAGGACTAATAAGTGAATGTAAATAGACCTGAAAACTCTTGCTATTTAGTGCCACAATACGGTATTATCATTTGTGTCTAAAACTGTAAAGTTATTAACAAAATTAAGAATGTGGTTGTAAAAGCAAATCACTTCCTTTGTAAATGTACAAATATGGGCTGAAGTCAGAGGTGACATGAGAATAAAACTAAATAAAACTCATTTGTATAAAAACAGTAACTTATTTAAGAGGCAACATATTATCAAAACAAATTATTCAAATAGCTGGCTTAAATTTCATGTTTTTGTAGTAAAACCAGAGAATACTAATCATTTTACAAGGGGGTATCAAAGGATATCAAATTAAGGAATGTCAACTAAAATTGGAATAATTGATAATATAATGTAACTATTGAGTAATGAAATTGAGCACAACTAACTAAAACTGAATGACTGCATGTTTTTCTGGATTTCAACCAATACAATCATGATATTTTAGAATTTACAGACAGCATTCAAACAACTTTAAAAATATGTACATTCGCCTGCACTGCTTTTGGGGATTTAAAGGATTTTATTTGAAAATAAACCCTACGTATGGATACTGAAAAAATACTTTGCATTTATCTTTGCAGACTGCACCTCAACAGTAATACAGTCATTTCAGAGTTAATTGAAAATATTGAACACTTTTTAAGCCCACACCACACCACATATTCAGTTTGTAACAATCTAACACTATTCCATGTTTATCTTTGGAAGAAAGAATAAAACAAATAATAGATTTAAAAGCTGAAACATTAGGATGATCCTTAATTTTTTTTGCACCATGGAAAATTTCAGGGTAAGGAGTGAATTTTCTTTCCTACAACAAAAAGAAAGTTTACAGAAAGAAGTAAGAGAACTTCAATGATGCTAGGGAGAGTGAACACAAGCTTGAGGATTTGATATTTTGAAATTTTTTCCATTTTCTTTGATAGTATTTGCTAGATGGCTACATAAGACTTTTAAAAGTAATTAACATTTTTGTTTTGCAGCTGTCGTGAGCGCCATCCCTGTGCCAACCCTAGAAAGTGCCCAGTACCCAGGAATCCTCCCATCTCCGACGTGTGGATACCCCCACCCACAATTCACTCTCCGGCCTGTACCATTCCCAACACTGTCAGTGGACCGAGGTTTTGGAGCAGGAAGAAGTCAGTGTAATGCATTTTCCTTTATTTTTAATATAAAAAATGAATAACAATAAGATGTGTTACATGTATCATTCTGATCTTCTCTGGAAAAGTTGATATCCTGTGACCTTGGGACTAGAATGTTCTTAACCCAACAGCGTCATCCTTTGGATTCTAGCAATCTGCTATTAGAATGATTCCCTAGAACTCTTTCTGCATCAGACTCTACAGGCACATATGTGTGGTGGGCAATAATAGTCCACGCAGCTCCATAAAACAAGGATGTGGTAGGTACTGTAAAATAATGCCCTGTTAACCAGGAAGTTAATAACCAAATAATGTCTTCCAATGCATTTTGTCTAGTATCTGTTGGTTAAATTGAAATATTTCTCATTGTATCCCAATGAATAAATACTTGATGAACCTTTGGCAGTCTTCAATCGTTTAAGTACTACTTTTTCATCTTATTGCTATTGGAGGAAAAAAGGAGTTGTGGTGCTCATGCATCATTTATCAGAAAGAAGAATAAAGGAAACTCTGAAGATTTCATGTACACCCTGGTGATTTCTCCTGTGCCATTTGACTTTTTATTTCCCTTGGTGCACAGCATTTTTAAATCGATTTTATGGCTTTCATCTCTTAGTTAAGAACAGGTGACTCAGCAGCTCACACTAGAGAAGAGGGTTTCTAATAGATACGATCATACAGCAATAAAATATATTTGTGAGGTAAGCTATATTTTTCCCAACTCAATGGGGGCAGCACTCAGGAAATCATAAATCGTCCAAATGTAGCAAGGCTAGAATTAAAAGGCATCAGGAAGCTGCCAAGGGAGAATTAGATTCATTTCCCTTTTCTCACAGCACATCACATCTACAGAATAGAGTTGTGCACAAAAACTCCGGGGAAAAGAGCCTCAAAATCACAGGGAAGGGAGTTAAATGAGAAGCACATGGGAATTCTAACAATTAGAAAATTTTGAATTACAAAAGAACTACACACATGATTACAATCAAAAACTTCAGAGCCCACAAGTCCCTTCCCCACTTTTGAAGAGATCGCCACTTTCCATTTCTTGTTCCTTTCATTGGCTAATATTCTATCAATCTTTTGATTTTTTACCCGTATTCTCTGACTTCAAAGGGACGCTGAAGGAGAATCTGTTGAATTACATTTCTCTGGTCCCTCTGGCGTTACTAACACAAACTAAAGCCCAATACTTTTCCTATTTAATTAGGCATTATTTCTTTGTTATTCGCTACGTATTCATTTCTTGTCCTCTTTTTTAGGCATAGTCCACTTCTAAAAATGTATTCGTCTCATCTACTCTTTTCTTTTTTCCTTGAGTTAGTAAACCATGTGAAATTGTGTCTTGTTGAATCCTCGGGAAAATTATTCCAAAAGTTAAAGTTCAATGAAAAACTAATAGTTTGCTACAAGAAACTGGTATTGTGTACAATGAAAAGAAATTTATTCTCGTGTGCACTACTTGATGGTAGGGAAGTGTGCACATATGAGCTATATGTGAAACTCCTGCGGTTTCCATCAATTTCGCCATGAACCTAAACTACCACTGAGCACTGAGGTACATTAACAGTTAATTGGTACATTTAGTCTCTTCAGCAGATTTTTGTTTTGACACTGTCTTTAAAAGTATGGTTTAGTAAATGAAGGTAATTCTATATTATAAAAATATAACACAACTATCATATGAAGTTATATAAATAGAATATTCTTAACTAAATACTTCATAATATTTGAACTTCATCCAAAGTCACCAGGGAATGGAAAATCTATTCCTGGATAAGATTTTATACATTTTTTTTAATGTGTATGTTTATTCATCCAGCAAGTATTTTTGAACAAAATATGTGCAATGCAAAAAAAAATAGTATCTAATGTGTTTCAAGCAATTGCTTGGAACAGAGAAAGAATGAATAAGTACTCCCTTTTCTAGGAAATGAAATATTCTCTAAATCACTGTCAGTAGCAGTTAGCTTCCAACCATTTGGTATTGGTTTCTAAATGCCTTGGAGAACACTAAACATCCGTGTTCCCTCTCAAGCAGAAAACACTTCATGACTCCAGGTGGAGATGTCTTATTAGTCACCTTGAGAAACAGAGAAAGGCACACATAGAAAAAGAAAAAGTTGGTGCGGCTAAGTATGGAAACTCTTCTCCAAAGTTAACTGAAAAACGTAGAAAGAGATGAATTGATAAAGGCCGGCCCCAAAGGCCTGCTGCGTTCTGCAGTCATAAACAAAGTTGAACTATCTCCATCTGCTCAGAAAGGGGAGGAACAATGAAAACATTTGCATCACACACATTTGCTGACCCATCACTAGAGATCTAGATATTTGTAATGGACAAATATTCAAAATCTCCAAAATAGTTAGTTTTGGGCCTTCACTTCTGTTCATCATTACAACGCTGGTGCCTTCATTCCTCCTCCATGAGACAAGTCTATGGCAAACGAGTTGAAGAAGATTCCAGTTCCAACAATGCCATAGTAAAAAGGCTTGTCAAATTTATCCATGCTAATATTCTGATTCTGTTTTCCTGAAAATTTGAAATCACTTACCAAATGGAGCTCAGCCCAGAGAAGCTCAGAGGCATGATGGATTTCATACATTATTTTGGGGGTGGTGATTATTATTTTTAAATCCAGGCTATGAGATTATTGAGGAATATTTCATAATGTTGTTCTAAGATTAATGAGTCTTATGAGTTCCTAGAGGAGGTGTTTATGTCTCTGAGTCTTTGCTTAGCGCTATTGCTGGGCTATATTTCTATCAGTTATTGCAGTTTTCAGATAGAAGAAAAATACTCATTTCCATTTTTGCAACATTTTGCCAGTTATTCTGTACCAAGTATTTATGTATGTTGACATTAATTATTATAAACTGCCTTGAGGTTTGACTCTGCTATGTAATTGTATGCTATTTGTACAATGAATTCCAACTATTTCATCATTTGAAAATGAGTGCCTTGCCAACATTCATTTGATTCTCACTTTGTGCTCTGAAGCGCAGGGAAGCTGTACTTCCTGTGCAAAAGGAGATTTTCTTTGCTTTCAGAGCTCTTAGCCCAGCTAAATGTCATGTCACTGAGCCAATTTGTTTCATAGGTGTCCTGGAGCTAGTGCCTGAACTGGCGACACAGGCTCATCTAAGATGAGAGCATTGCTCAGTTGGAGTGCTTGCGCTTCTGTTTGCTTAAGGATTTTTGCTCCCTTAAATGTCAGCCAACTCTGATAGCATTTATTTTGCTCCACTTAAAATATAAAAATTATGAATTATCTGTGGAAACCCTCTTCTACTGTATTCATTTTGAACAAAACAAAACTTGTTCCTTATTGCAATCCATTAATTCCCAAGCACAGTCCTTCCTGCTCCCAGCTGGGGCTTCAGTGTACGGTTGTTTGTGGTACTAAGGACGGGTTAGACAAAGGATATGGTCCATGTTCTTAGGGTTGCATTGAGGTGGTCCCAGTAAGAATCAGGATGTCTGGTTGGAATTCTGGGCCACAGGACGGAGAATAAAGAGAACTTTTATCTTTAGAAATGTAGATGAAGAGAAATGCCATGAAAGAGAATGTTATTAGGAGTGGCCTCAGCACTTCCTGCAAACGCATCAGAATACACATGTTCATGCAATACATGTTCATGTAATACATATGTTCATGTGACATATCAAGTGTTTTAGCAAAATAAGAGGGCAAATTTCAAATAAGTAAAGAAACATGCATGTAAATTTTATTAAACGCAAGACCAAAAATAGTATTTTTATTATAAACTGCTTTTATTTACAAAATACAGAGAAAGGGAAATCATGAAGGCAGGAATAAGAAAAGAAGGGAAAATTGCAAATGTACTATTTTTCCTTCTATGTTAAGATAGTTTTAAAGATATGATATAGATTATTGCAATCCATCATCAAAGAGGAAATTACCTACAGCAAATTTTTAAGAAAAATTGTGAAACTTCTTTTCTTGAACAGATATGGTTAGTACAATGCTATGACCCCATTAACAAGAACCAGCCCATTGGAAACAAGAGTGATCAAAGAAAAGCAGCCTCAGGAACCTTGTTTGTGAGACTCACAGTTTGCGGAAGAACAGAAAGACTCTTACTCAAATGGAAACTGAAGTTCCTAAGACTTTCTCCCCATGAGATTATAAATTGCTTGTGATGAGTAGTTTTCTCCATCCTGATTATCACCTCTAGAGACATTTCTGAAAAAGCCCATAGTATTCTAAGCTTTCCCTGCAATCTAACACATCATAAATACCCTTCAGACCTGTGACTTGAAGGAAGTGCAAACAAGGAGAGGTGTCATAATAAGTCTTCCAGGGACGGGGCCTGAGTGCAGACCTCAGTAGAAAGGTGCCCAAATTGGGAAGTAGGTTTTTGTTTAAAAATTGCCCTTTTATCATTTTCTTCTTTAGATTAAATAATGAATCCAAAATAAAACCTACGTGATTTTCTTTGTAAATCTAGACACTCAACCATCCCACTAGAGAATCTGACAGAGTAGACACGCAAATTGTTTCTCTCCCCTTTGTCTACCTACATGGAGGAATCTTGCCAGCTGACTGCCTTACTTCCATTTTCCCCTTTGGAGGTTCTGAAGAAGTCTCTGTCTGATTTTCGGCTCAGATTTATACATTCCTAATCATTCCCTCAGCCAACTGCCTGTCTTTCCACCTCCATCTTTGAAGGATGAGGCCTGGAGGCTGCTCTCTGACTCAGTGGACACCTGACCCCCTAAAAGAATAAGTAAAAATAACTTTAGAAGATGCTTCATTTCTGCCCATCTTTTATTTGAAATCTTGATCTTCGGTCTTTCATCTCTACCCCCTTTGGCATTATCATATTTCCTTTCTGTCTCCTTTGCCCTTTGCTGACCCTATTGAGCCTTTCAGAGTTGTCTCAAAATTAGCTCCCAAACTTATTATCTGGAAACAAGTCCTGGTTAAAAAATTATCTTTCCAAAGTGAGATATTATTTTCTGTTACTGTAGTATTTCCATTTGACCAATACAGTTTTCCTAAGAAATATAACCAGGAATACGCACAGAGAGCAATCCTTACATGTATCAGGTGACTTTCCTTTGCAGTTTAACTTTGTCCTGTTGGCTTTGAATATGAATGAACATTTCACGTTGAGTTATCCTGTCCTGAGCAGGAGAAAATGCCTTTAAAATATTTCAGTCTTTCTCCACTGTGTTCTTTAGGGAAAAAGTGCATTTCCATATACAAAGCTGTCCAAATGCCCACAGGCTGTCACAAATGACTATGTGAAGCCTCTTCAACTGTAGTAATCTGCCTGAAAATTACAAGGTTTGGTACCAAAGAAGAAAAATCATAATTCTGCATTCAAGGCAACTTGCTCCAGTGGAGTCATGTCTCATACAACTTTTAGCTCAATGTGCTTCTATTTTGTGATGTGAGATAATGATAGTGGTTATTATTTGTATCATTTTATTAGCAATGTCTCTGAGCACCTTGTAACTCTGATTTGTTTGACAGTTGACATGGCATGTTTAAATCACAGGAAAATTGGCATATTGGCTGGTAGATAATAATGCAGCTGTAACCGGGTTTGGTACATTGAATTTCACTGACATTGCTACTTATGAAAGGAGAAATAACTCTTTTTTCTCGCTTCATCACTTATGATTACAGGGCCCAGACATTTCAGGCAATATATAGTCAGTGCTGAATATATTTTAGTACTGTTCTTAAAAGATACATCCCTGTTCTGCTGGACCTATTTCTATTGTTGAAAAAGGACTAATTGTGTTCCATAAACACATGAGGGTTGAAGAATAAGAATGGCCATAATTTGGAAAAGAGATTGGCCAGACCTATTTCAATGAACAGATTCGGGAAACTAGGGGAAATAAACTTTGTCTGGAATAACACCTGGATTTCCTGTCTCTGTCACAGCTGTGAGTGAAGGACCAGCAAGCCAACAACCACCCATGCTGCCCCCATCCCAGCCTGAGCATCCCAGCAACGAGGAAGCACCCAGCAGAACCATCCCCACAGCCTGTGTCCGACCTACTCATCCACTCCGCAGCTTTGCTAACCCTTTGCTACCTCCACCAATGAGTGCAATAGAACCGAAAGTTCCTTACACGCCGCTTCTGTCTCAATCAGGTAAAGTACTCATTGGCTCACATGTCAGATTACTGTTATCACTGATGGTATATCTAAGTGCAAGGGGGAACTTGAGAAGGCCGAGATGGAATGTATGATTTCAGTTTTGATTTCCTGTCTTTGTGTTTATGTTTGTGACTGATGCTTATAATGCAGCTCGTAATTACCTGCTTTATAAGCAAATAGCTAGTTGGAGGGACTTCCGTTGATCTAAAAAGGTTGTTCCTGGATCCTCAATGACAATTCATGGCTTTTAATATGTGTTAGACATAAGCTCACTGGTGAGTACTAGAGAAAACCCGATTCCCTTCTTCTTCACTGTGTTGTCTGGGTTTGAAGATTTCAAACTAGACTCCAAGGCTAAATTCAATGTACAAACATATGCAAACCCATTTCTTAAAGAAATGCTTTCAATTTCACCATTTGCCAACTCCCAGTAGTTCTTACTTATTTCAATGTCTAGTACCACAAAGGAGTGTCAGAACGAGACCCTGGAATCCCATGCAATGCTGCATCTGTTACCTCTGCTGGTGGTATCCAGCAGCTCAACCAGTGCCCCATTTTCTTTTTGTTAGGGAATGGTGAAAGTGGTAAAGAAAAACACAGGAGAGAGACAAAGCGGGGAGGGAGGAGGAAGAGGAGAAGGAAACAGTGTATGAGCAATAGAAGCAATAGGTTAATAAAAAGATAAGTATATTCATAAGATCAGAAAACATATGATAATTAAAATTACTTGGAACATTAGAATAATTCTAAACAGTTTTAGCATATGAGACATCAGATGATAAAGTTCAATGATTCTAAATGACTAGGTAGCTGGACTGAGCCAATCTATATTACAGAAATATATTTGAATAATTTTCTATTAATCAAGCCCAACATTATAGCAACTTTGCCAATTCCTTAGTACACAAGTTTCATGATTACTAAAAAAATTAACAATTGTGATCACCTATTAACTATGATGACTAAATATATTTATATTTTATTAAGACTATAGCTTCCTGTTAGCATTTCATTAATTGATTTATGTAGAACTTCTTAGATGTTCTCACCATTTTTTTGGTATGTGGAATAGATGCTCAACTACTAGTCCTGGAAAGCTAAAATGGAAACCAAACACCAATAGGATTCCTTCACCTGGGATGAACACTGCATAGAGTGTGTCTCCCCTAAAACAAACTCAGAGTATATCACGTCTTCATCCAACAGGAGACAGGCCTTCTCACCCCGATGAAATCAGATGCATATTACCTGAGCCCTGACTCCCACACATCACATATGCACACTTGGCACACACACACATTATGGGGAGAATATGTTTCTTTGTATTACCAAATAACTTTGAGGTCCTTGAAAATTGAGGCAAATTGAAGCAAGATAATTAGTGTAATGATGTTCCTCTGTTATGAGTATGCTTCATGGTAATTTCTGTATGTCCTGATTTCCATCTACAATACCAACCAAAAGAAAAGACCTTGAAGAAGATTGGTTAGTATTCATGACCGAAGATATTTCCATTGTTTGTGACTGCAGACGATACTGAGATTTCATAAGGCTTTAATGAACACACAGAAGACCCATGCTTTTAAAGGCTTGCAGTAGCTCATTAGAGCCTCAAAACAAATTTGTGAAGTTGCTGCTTTTCTTGACTCATTTTGTGGATAGGAAAGTAACACACAGATAATTTATTTAAGTCTACAAATCTGGTAGATACTGCATCTTGACCTATACATTTTGACATCAGAAAGCATTAATTCACAAATTTTAGGGACTCGTTTATGCTCCTAAATTTATATCTAACTTACATACTTAATGACAAAAATAGAAGCAAGAAGCATTGCACCAAATATCCAAAAATTTATGAGAAAAAAATTAAGCATCTGCATTGACTGAGTTGAATATTATATCTCCAATGCCTTCTTTATTTACATTTCAATAAGGAAAACTAAGTGGTTTAATAGTCTACAGCAAAGATGATCAGTTATATAACATCAAAAAACTTAAAAAATTTTGCTAATCTAACACACTTGTGTTAATTTTGTATGTCATTCTATCACGAAAAATACCTGAGATAGTCAACTTACAAAGAGTAAAGGTTTAGGGGCTGGAAAGATGGCTCAGAGGTTAAGAGCACTGACTGCTCTTGCAGAGGCCCTGGGTTCAATTCCCAGCACCCACATGGTGGCCAAAAACAGTCCTTAACTCCAGTTCCAGGGGAATCCGAAGCTCTCTTCTGACCTCCACAGCATTGCACAACACAGGTACACTCACATACATGCAGGCAATACACTCATACACATAAAATAAAAATAATAAATATTTTTCTTTTAAAAAAAAGAGTAAAGGTTTATTTGGGCTTCGATTTTGGTGGCTTTATTCCATGACCGATTGAGCCTGTGGTAAGGCAGCACATTATGTAGGATTGCGCAGCAGAAAAAAATCACTCATCTCATCATTAAGAAGCAAAAATAAAGGGGAAGAAGGGACTGGGTCCTCTAGTTCCCATTGAAGGTATGCCCACAAGAACCTAAAGGCCTCCCACTAGGCTCTACCTCTTTGAGATCCCACCACCTCCAAAGTGCACAATTCTATGCATCAAGACTTTGGCCCAGGAACCTTTGGGGCATTGAAATTCAAACTATAACAGAAGAAAAGGTTCAATTTAAATAATTATGTTTCATGGAGTAAATAGGCAAAATATATTTTTCTGAATGCTATTTTAAATGACAAATTCTGTAGAGAAATAAAGCTAGATGGAGGGCACAGTGTTCTGAAATCAACCTACTCTCTGAAACTTTATGACAATGAAATGCTCAAAAAGAACGTTAATTTTATGTGGGACAGGTACAACAGGTGGAACAGAGTGCTGGCATTTTTATTAGATATTATTTTCTTCTAGTTTTAATAATACCAAAGCTACCTCAAACAAAATTTGATGCATTGCAGCCTAAGTGACTGGATTATGTCCTTAGGAATGGAAGCAGCGTTTTCTACTGTCTCATTCCATCAAATACTAAACATATCTAAAGAACTGCTCTCTGATCTAATGCCATGCAAGCAAAATCTCATTTTCCTTTATTCCCACTGTATACTTATGAGCGTTCTTTTGTTTGACTATTGTTCCTGTTTTTCTTTGAACTCTTTTTCAAAAGTCATCTCTTCTCCATATTTTCTGTTCCCCGTCTTGAGTTCTTGGTTTGATTTGATTTGATTCATAATTTGCCTTTAAATGCTACCCTGCCCCCACTCCCCACGAGGCATACTCTACCATCAGTTCGGAATTATTAAATGCCTTTCTCTTTTATGTTTCTCCTTTATTGTCTGCCTGTGATTCCTGTTCATTTCATAATGCCTTACCTCATGATTTTCAAATAAGTCTCCCTACATTGCTCCTGACACATGGTAAATAGTATGCTTTTTAAAAAGGCTGATGTTGACTTATTCTAATAGAAAAGGAAAATTAGCAGACTGACAAATGTATTAGTAGTGACATTAACTACATACTTCTTAGCCTAAAAGATGAAATACTTAGAGCTTTCAACAAATTTAATTCCAAGAAAATCATTACTTTAGTCAAACTGATGGATGAAGTAAAGTCATTCTCTTGTCAGCTTAGAAAAGAAAATACCTCAAATAATTTTGCTCTGGGTTTCACAATAAAGGACTGTGTAATTAGTAATGAATTTGTCTTTACTTACTGCTAGTAATTGCTTTAGAATATGGTAATGGGAGGCACTGCTCTAATGTTTACAGATGATGCTGAATGAATATTTCCTCAGCTTTGAAATTTTTGAGATTAGCATCAACGAAGAAGTCCTTTCCTCTCTCAGATTCCGGCATGTGGTTTTTCTTGAACAGTGTTAAGGGTCCTTGCCTCAATTTGCCTCCCACTGAGATAAGCAGAGCTGTGTTTGCAACAACTTTATATATGAGGGATAGGGCAATACATATTATGCAGTAACGATCTCCCTGGGTTCCTAGAGCATTTTGCAGTATTGCCTTAGTAGGTGGTAATTAGAAAGTCATTCTGTTGTCATAACGACTGAAATTTTGCCTACCTGCAAGCAGAGATTCATTTCTTCATTTTTTCTTTCCTTCCACCCACTGAGTTGGAGAATTAGCTTAGTAGACTCTACAGTATTTATGGTGTTTCTTACAATTTCATCTTTATCCAGTGATAAAGTGATTCTGTGTCTTAGTGCTTTGTTCAAGGAGTTAAATAACTGAATGGTCTTTATAAATTTCTTAGAACAGCCACTGTTCTTTGTAAATCACAGACGTGGCCATAAAAGTGATTTGACTAGACCCTTTGATGGAGTGCTGGGCTCATTGCATTATAGATCTGACATAAATTAAGCAAAGGTGTCTCTTAAAATTCTAATCTCCTTAACCATACCCATGTATTTTTTTTATTTCAGACAATACAATTACCATCTCTAGGCATTGGAGATGTGAGTGCATGTGTGCGTGCGTGCGTGCGTGTGTGTGTGTGTGTGTGTGTGTGTGTGTGTGTGTGTGTGTGGTTTCCCTACTGCAGTTCCTTTTAGCTGTGAAATTACCAGCTGCACCTTAAACAAACTTAGATTTAGGAGCACATTTGTCTTGAGCTATAATTCTACAGGGAAAGAAAACGTGACCTCTTAAACAGTGACTTTTACATTGTAGCTCTCTTTTATGTCATGAGGCTCCTAAAGCTCTTGCATCTTTGTGATACTAAGTAAGTGCTATAATTTCTACACCTATATATCTATACTAATAAAAGCACAATGTATTATGATCTTTTTGATCTTTGAGTGGTCAATATGTCAATGGACATGACAAAACTAAATCCCACTTCATTGCACAACAAAATTGAGTTTGATGCCCCCCTCCCCCCTGCAAATTGTGGCATGTGCTCTAATTCATCTACGGATTGAGAAGAAAGTGTTGGTGTAGGTGGATGACAGTGGACAGAAAAGGCTGTGATTTATATATTATGGCTACTTGAGGAATCATAT